CCTCTTCATGTTGTGGGTCAAATAATCTCTTGATATTGACCTCTACCCACCAGACACCATTAGGTCTCCCCACCATCCATGTGTAAAAATAAAAAAATGTCTCTAGGCAGTAATTTAAAAACAAAAAACAAAACAACCGTCCACTGGGTGGCATGTTTTCCACTGGTTGGTAACCACTGGCGTAGACACATATCATTTCATCAATGAGAAATAAAGGTGATTGAATCTCTGATAGTAACATATAGATGTCTGTACATTACTCTCTCTGAATTAAGAATCCTCTAGTAAGAGTCTGAACTGAGTGATGACTTGCCATTTCCTCTGAGAAGTTCTCTGTTGGCAGAGTTATGCATTACTTCATTACCAGGAGCCAGAGCAAAGGAAGTCATGGTCACAATTTCTGTATTGGACCATTACGGCCACAGCATCCAACAGAAGCATATTGAGGATATACTTTGTGCACATTCCAGGCTGTTTGTTGAGTGTAGGTATAATAAGGGGAACCATTGAAAGAAAAAATAAGCAAGGAGTAGCACAAAGGCCAGAGTATTGAATACCAGTGCTCCCAATTACTGGCTGAGTGACTTTGCACAAAGCTTGTGACCTCTCTGAGCCCCAGATTGCTCATATAAAGATGTGGTTGCTAGTACCTCATCCATATACTGAAATCTAAGCAAAGGCACCTATTCCAAGTAAATTCTCAGTAAATTTTATTTCTTCATTTCACTTACATCACTGGGTTAACTTTAGAGATGTCATAGCTAGGCCTTTCACTTTCAGCAAAAATAAAAGGTCTTCAGAATGGTGTACAATTGAGGAAAACTAAGAGATGGATCCCAGTCAGAAGAATTTTCCCTCTCAGATGCAGGTGGGAAAAGTAAGAGTGAGAATGTTTTTAGTGGAGAAATGTATTTCTTACCCTTCAGGTGAGAAATACTCTGAAAAAAAATGCACTGCCATTGCTGGCTCTAACCATTAGACAGTGGCTATACAGTCTGCGTGACAAGAGAAGCCCAGAGGGAGCCCCAACATGTAAAGCCTATTCCAATTCATAACTGATGCCTGAAACCACCGTCAACTATATGGTCCTTTGCATCATTACTGTGGCTAGTTTTATCAGATCTTTTCCTGGGTAAAAATTTGATATCACAAGTAATTAGAGCTAGAAGGTAGTTATGTAATGTGGTTGTATATATGCATGCTTGTGTATTTATATGTATAGCTACATACATAAAAGTGCATGCATATATGTACTCATGTACATGAATATATATTTTTATATCCAGGTATATGAGTATTTATATATGTGAAAATAGATGTATGTGTATCCTTAAGCTCTCCTCAATATGTATTTCAGTAATCTATTTATCAGTCATATTCTAGCTAAATCATGTTATTTGGCATTCCATCAATGGCAAACTCAAATAACATAATGACCCATTTACTTGATGTTGATCATAATTATCTTGAAACATTATGAACCTCCTTTTTCAAAGAAGATATAAATTCTTATCCTTCAATAATTTTCTCTGTGAAGAAGTATCTGGTGACTTTCATTTTACCAGAACATGGGATCCACTGATGCCCACTGCTGCTTGGCCATACCAAGAACAGGCGTCAAACTTAGTGACAAGTTGATTAATACAAATCACAAACATAGGTGGCCCCTAATCTTTGCCATGATCTGTGTGTAGTTGCTTGGGAAACTTGGGAAGAATAACAAGTGGTGTTTTGCCCTCTAATTGCTTACATATCCTCATAAATGTGTTGTTGGTGCTAAGTCATACCAAATGTGTGCCTATCTGGAAGCAGGGAGAAAAGCTAATGTGTTCTCCTTATACTTCAAGGATCTTGGGAAAATATATACATCACTTTAAAAATTTGTCCTTTTGCTGAAATAACCTTTTCTTTGTGAGGGCAACTTCAGTCTTTGAAACATAGGGTCCCTTGTGGAGCTGGTGGTCTCAACTATCATGGCTAAATTCTTAGCACCAGGTGCAGACTTTTCTGTGAGAACAGCTAACACACAGGTTTCATTTACACCTGCTTCACAGGCACACAATCTAAAAAATACTATCAGGGATAAGACTGGTAAGAGAGTGTCATTTGTCACTTGAAAATCCTTTTTTTTTCTATATAAATATTTGAAAAACCTCAATACCATTGCTGAACTTTAATCAGCTAGGAAGGTGCTGCAAATGGAGGGTTAATCCATCATACTGCCCAGGAGGAGACGTGAATTGTTGCCTTAAGTTCTTTTTAGATAGCACTGGATAATGTGATTAGCACCCTCTGTGGGAAAGACTCAAAAAAGATGCTACACCTTTAAAAATTAGCTTCCCTTTTCAATGCTCAGTAGTCTGCTTAGAGGGGTCAGAGCAAGTTTCTCAAAGCTTAAAGATTAATTAATTTGAGGGGGGAAAAAAGATTTCAAGTGTCACAAAACCTTAGTTAAAACTACCATTCTCCCTTATTCTTGGCTTCTCCCTCCCCTCCTTGCCTTTCTCCAAAGCAAGAGGCACAGGACCATGAAATGATGTGAGCAAAATTTCCTCTATTTGTATAGTAAACGTATTTGCTTGCTTACAAAGACACACAATGCAGAAACATACAGACTCACACACAAACTAAGAATACAGCTTTCTACAGCCATCATTCACTTCTAAAGCTCCAGACCGCAGATTCCTCTTTCCAATGACCTTTCTTAAAATCTACATGGACTTGAGATCTTAACATCATGAATACATGATGTTTAGTCACGGGCTGTGGGGAGCAGCAGAAAACAAAGCATGATTATTCTCTCACATAGCCACACTGAAAAAAAAAAAAGATGAAAAAGTCTTGGAGACAGGAAAGAAACTGAAGTTTCTAGTGTTCATATTTCCAGGTGATGGAGGAACCTATATGTCTGATTTTGCCAGAAAGGCTTTGCTTCTGGAAGCTTTCCCTGTAAGCATATCAACACAGCCTCTAATGAACCAAGCTTTTGGCACTGGGTTTCTGTGGTCTTCCTATGAAGAAGCTAAGGGAATGAAGCCTTCCTTCAATGGATACAATTTAGGGATCCTCCTCATAAAAAGGTATGCTTTTCTCCACAGAGGTCTCTTTTGTGGGGTTTAATTGTAGATGTGATGCGTATCCTGTCCCTGTCACCCTTTCCTCCAAGTGGTGTGGTATTTAGAATGGCAACTTCAAATGATCATGTTTAGGCTAAATCCAAAAGCACCTCCTCAAAGTTGTTAACAAAGCACCTCTCTTTTAGAACATTGACAGTCTAAATCGGGGTTATATACATACAGTATGTCATAAAGCCAAGGTTTAATTACAAATACAGCAAGATAAAGTTTGCTATAGGAAGAATGATCTAGGAAGAGGGCAAGGGAGAGAAAGGGGCTGTCTTAAAGTTATTTACAAAATATTTCTCTTGAGCCTTTTAGAAGCTGTATTTTTAGGCATATTGATTTGTCCATAGGTAGATGATAAATCTACCACCAATCCTTAGTTCAAGTAAACCTTCTGGTGATAATGTTCATTTCAAAAAGCTGATTTAGTCTTTTAGATTGGGTGCTGGAGGCATTAGCATTTTGTGGGATGGTGGCATGTTTGTTCCCCATCTCACTTTCTGCCATTTGAGCTTTTCTCTTAGAAAAAAGGGAAAAAGTAGGAGACATGCTAGGCTTTAGTATCTTTTAGGAGGGTGAGAAAATAATTCTGGACATAATATCATTGGTTCAGTTTTCACCATCTGCCATCTCTGACAATTTATTTCAATCACACATCTAATTAAATTGTTATCTGGAGAAAGACCTCTCCAGCAATGCATGCATCCCTCCCTTTACTTTCCTCTGCTGAACCCATCACCTGCCCTACCACCAGCTCCTTACTCTTTACCCTTACCTTTTTCAATTTAGCAAAAAGAAGAAAGAAAAACCCTGAAATCTCACTGCTGGACCCAGAAACATGTGAAGGGTGAGAAGGGGCAACAGTAATCCCCACACACAAAAAATGAAAAGCACAGGGAAAGCAAGCATTACACAAAAAGGCCATCTGGGAAGAGGCAGCTTTTCTGGCCTGGGTTAACAAATTATTCCCATCTCAGTAATATACAAACACAGAATCAAATGAAGATTGTTTTTCTCCCACCCTTGTCCCCAATCTCTGCTCTATCAAGCTTGTCCCTAAATTCTCTTGCTACCATCCATTCCCCTGTAGGCATTCATCCTCAATCAGAATTTCCTCTTTGCCCTTAGAATCCCTGAGTATGTTATGCTCAGAGCCTAAGCTTGCTGCAGTTTTAGCAATGTTCTCCACAAGCACAGATTTCAGCTTTGCACATTGGGATTCCATCTCCTGCTCAGCGAAACCATACAGAGCTGAGTTGAGGGACTTTAACCCCAGAAGGTGTCAAAAGGGGTACAGATGCTACTCATTCTGGTGAATCAGAAGCATGGGAGAATTATGAATAAGTAGCATTTGGGGGTAAAATTTTGAGTTCGTTTGAAATATGGTTCTGTTAAGTGCAAAAACATGTCTCATAGGAGAAACTGTCTGGCATTGCCTTTTAAAAGCCATTTGCAGTAATCTCTGTCTGGCCTAAAGTCTAAGCAGTGATGCCCCAACTTCAGTCCACCTTTCACTTGCTTTAAAGTGGTTACATTTCACTGCCCACTCCCCAGATGTTACCCAGACTTGCAGGACTTTTTTCAGCAATTGCTCCTGTGGGGAAAATTAACCTGACTCATTACACTGATAAGCTTCGTTTGCCCTCTTTAACATTTCAAACTGCATCTGCCCACTTTGCTCTTTGATTTTCAAATCTTCCCACTGGTCAAGCCCTCCACCCCTATGAACCCCACCTCCACCTCCGGGGAATTGTAACTGTTGAATCTCTTGTAACACAGGTAACAATGCATTTAGCTTACACCAGTCTGTAAAAACTGTAAATGCTATTTTATTTTAAACATTTTAGTTTACAAAAGAAAATCAATGATTGGTACCTTTTTTACACTCTCAGATTCCTGAATATGGGCAGATCTTCAAAGGGAGGAAGGATTTCTCATATGAAATCTAAGAGACTGTCCTGAAGGTTGTGGGGTGGGGTGTTGTTGTGTTTTATTTCGTTTTTGTTTTTAAGACACAATAAAGCTAAAATGTCCAGTCTCTGGGAGAGAGCCCCGTACAGTTTCAGTCAAGGAGCATATCAGCACAGACAAGGAGACCCCGGCCCGGTGCCCGCCGGCCTGCGCGGCTGCCCAGGCGTATTTGGTAGCGCATGGGTTGAGAGCCACTGGGACAATCACACCTCGCATTCCCTCGCGGGCTGCTGGTGGCAGGTGCACGAGCCATACTCATTGATGATCACCAGGGCTCCCTCAATGTGGTTCGGTTTGTAATCAACATAGTATTCCTGGGCAGACATGGCAGCCATCTGATGCATGGTCTGTTTCTGCTTTTGCTTCCTGCGCTGCGTGACAAAGCACTGTCTGAGCTGCCTGAGACTGGCTGGGAAACACTTCCAGGACACGTAGAGCACCAGGACCACAATGAGGAAGGAGAAGATGAGGGCCATGGTGCCGGTGACCACTTTGTGGATCTGCACGGCGTTCTCTGCGTGCTCGCCGCCGGGGAGAGCCACCGTGGCGGGATCGGGTGTGCCGTCGTACTGCCCCTCCCCGCCGTCCGCGAGCGTGGTGGCAGAGCTGTCAGGGGGTCCCAGGTCGCTGCGATTGGTGACGGCCGAGAGGAGGTGGCCGCTGGTGGGCTCGGCCCCATCCTCGCACAGGTGGAAGGCGTACACGGCGTCTAGGACGTCCTCGCCCTGTGCGTACTCGGGGCTGGCGCACTGCAAGCTGCCGTCGTAGCGCCCCGGGAAGTTGCTGAGCCAAGTCGCCAGGGCACACACGTTGCGCCCACAGTCCCACAGGTTCCCGGCCAGGGTAATGCTCGTAAGCGACTTCCAGGAGTTGAGGACGCGCGGCTCTATGTAGGTGAGGCGGTTGGAGTCCAGCTGCAGGGACTGCAGGTGCGGCACGGTCTCAAACACATGGGGCTCCATGTACTCGATCTCATTGCCCGACAGGTCCATTTTCTCCAGGTTCCAAACCCAGTCCAGGGAGCTGACCACAATGGCCACCTTGTTCCTCCGCAGGCAGAGCGAGTGCAGGGAGATGAGGCGCGGGAAGTGGGCGAAGTTCACCTTGACCAAGTCGTTGTGCTCCAGGTGCAGCTCGGTGAGCTTGAATAAGCCGGCGAAAGAGTTGCGCGCCAGACTCTTGAGCTGATTGTATCCTATGTCGAGAAACTTGAGGCTGCGGCAGTCCTGGAAGATGCGCACGGGTACGAACTGGATGGCGTTGGCCCGCATGTGCAGCGTGGTGAGCTTCCGCAGCCCGTGGAAGAGGTCGGGCGCGAGCGCCTGCAGCTTGTTGTAGGAAAGGTCCACGCTGCGCAGGTTGGGCATGGGCCGGAAGGTGGTGTTAGCCAGTTGGGTGATCTGGTTGGAACTCAGCGTGAGTTCCTTAACTCGGCGCAGTTTCTGAAAGGCGTCCCCCTGCACCGAGCAGATGTGATTGTGATCCAGATAGAGCCACGTGAGCTGCATTAACCCCGTGAACTGGCCGGCGCGCAGCTCCGAGAGGCTGTTGTAGCGCAGGGACAAGCCCAGCAGGCCGGACAGGTTGTGGGGCGCCTCGGTGAAGTTGAGCGCCTCGCAGTACAGCAGCCGCCCCTCACACCGGCACAGCTGCGGGCACCCGCTGGGGGCGGCGGGCAGCATCTGAAAGCAGGCCCCCAGCAGACACAAGACCACCCCCGAGGGCCTTCTCAGCAGCCAGTATAGACAGAGACCGAGCAGCAGGAAATCCATTAGCGAGAATCTTTCCAGAGAGACTGGAGAACGTCCATTGGAAGCGCTCGGTCAGAAATCTACATCATATTTTATTCCGAGGGAGGGGGCGGGGGAGGGGAGAAAAGGGCAAAAAGCAAATAAATATATAGAAAGAAAGAAGAACCCCCTCCCCAAAACCACACGTTCACCTCTAAGCATGCAGAAAGCTGGGCGGCATAGAAAGTTCACAGTCACGGAAAGATCAAAGAGATGGTGATTTGGTCCATGTTAGAAGCTGCAGCAGAGAAAGGGGAGGGGAGAAAATCTTCGGGAAAGAATTTAATTAAAAAGTGTCTTACCCACCCTTTTCCAGAGAGTGACAACCTCCATTCAGCTGCTCCCTTTGTGTGCAGGCTAATTATATGCAGGGCGAGAGAAGACCCCTCTCTGTTTCCGAGGCAGCCCGGGTCCGCGGCCGGCGGATCTGGCAGGCGCACAATGTCTCACTTTGCTGATCTGCTCGGGGCTGCAAGGGCGGCGGGCGAGGCGGGGAGGCGACTTCTAGGACCCGCAAGTTTCCCAACTACGTGCCGGAGCCCGGGCTTCGCCTTCTTGCCGCCGTCCTTTTCCTCTGCAGTTCGGACTGTGACGTGGGGGAAAAAAACTCCAAACTCGGGGCTCGCGACTCCCCAGGATTTGACAGTCTGGTTAATGTCCGTCATTGGAAATGACCACTGACCGGCGCCACCCTTTACTCCGCGGAGACCGCCT